CGGACCGCGTCATCAACCAGATCCTGACCGAGATGGACGGCATGTCCACCAAGAAGAACGTCTTCATCATCGGTGCCACCAACAGGCCGGACATCATCGACCCGGCCATCCTGCGCCCTGGCCGCCTGGACCAGCTCATTTACATCCCCCTGCCCGACGAGAAGTCCCGCGTGGCTATTCTGAAGGCCAACCTGAGGAAATCGCCAGTTGCCAAGGTAGGATCTGTGCCCGGACTGTGTCTGGCTTGGGTTTGCTGTGTGCTGCATGTGCTTCTTACAAGCTGGGGACAGAGCAGAGGGCTGGAGGCTGCCGTGGTGGCAGAGGCGGGAAACCTTCGGGCCCTGAGGGGCTGAGAGGTGGAGGGGCAGGCTTGAGTATCCACAAAGGTAGGTTTTGGTGTGCAAGCCCAGCAGGTCTTTGTGACATGGTGGAATTTTGCCCTCAGAGGAGGAACAGGAAAGCTTGTAATGGCAAGGTGGAAGAGATCCTTGTACTCTGGAAGAAAATGTAGAACATGTGGCTGTGAAATGGAAATTGAAGGGGAACCACTGCAGATAATTTTTGCTGAACTTGGTCATAGGCAAGAGCGATGCCCCTTGCCTGGGGAGCTGCAAATGATGCAACTGGTAGGTCATCAGAGAGAAGCAGATGCCAAGTGAGAGCTCAAGTTTTTTTATGCCAAGCTTACCTTTTTAAGTTCTGTTGGGCAGAAAAGTGTCAAGGGAAGTTGCAGTGCTCCTCCCTCAGATGAGGGGAAGGAAGAGGAGGTTGATCATTGTGGTCTATGTGCCTGTGCCCCTTCTCTGTTTCCACTCTGACAGTATTTAGACTCCTGATGCCGAGACGTGAGTGAATCATGTCCTTGCCATGGTTTAGATTCAGGGCTGCCCCCAGACCTGTAGCACATACTCTTGTTAACTCCTCTCCCTGCCAAAGGGAGAGAGACTTACTGATTAGAAAAGTAAAACGGCTTTACTGAAAATAGTAACAATAAAGTGGAATATATTTACACTCACTTTGTAAATTCCTGGTGGATGGGTTGGGTACATGGCCTGCCTTTGGGCATGGTTAACTTTTCCCAAAACCAAGAACTGTAACAGGTGATCTTTCCAGAACTGGCCAGGGTTAGCGCAGGACCTTGTTACGATGGGATCTGCTGACACCTCTCTGTCCCTGGAGGGTGTAAGGTGTTAAGGAGAGGCCTCTTTGTGCTTCTTTTTTCCCCACTAGAACGTTGACCTGGATTTCCTAGCTAAGATGACCAACGGCTTTTCGGGTGCCGACCTGACAGAAATTTGCCAGCGTGCCTGCAAACTGGCCATCCGCGAGTCCATCGAGAGCGAGATCCGGCGAGAGCGCGAGCGGCAGACCAACCCCTCTGCCATGGTGAGCGGGTCCTCGTGCGAGGGGTCCTCCCCACCACCCCTGGGTGGGGATCGCGGGCTCTCGCACGAGTGTTCTCGCCTTGTGGGGGAGGTCAGGGCCCCTCCTGGGGGCCCTCATTGTCTGGGTGGGTGTTGGAGCCTCCTAGCCCGGACGGAGCCTGA